ATAGGGACGGGGTCATCCGGGTTACTGATGACCTCCCTGGATAGGGACGGGGTCATCCGGGTTACTGATGACCTCCCTGGATAGGGACAGAGTCATCCCCGTTACTGATGACCTCACACGATAGGAACTAAGATCTTCTAGGTTACTGACGACCTCACACAATGCTGTTTTTGGCAGACAGGCCCTGGGCGCAGGGTGTATTCTCAAGCACACATGGCAGATAACTGAAACATCAGCCTTACCTTGGAGCCCACAGTGGAATGAGTTAGACTCTTAAACATCTCGATCACCGTCCTCTGTTTTAATACTTTGGTCTTTTTCTTAGGAACCAGGCTATAGGTCCCCATTCTTCGCTTTTTCTTCCGAGATACTGCAGCTGCTAAAACAAAAGGCAAGCAAGCTAAAAAAAAAAAAAAGTCAAAAGGGGACAAGAAAAGAAAAGAAATACCATTCAAATGCTTTTAAAGTCAGGTGACCACTGATACACTAACCGTGACGGGCCAGTGCTATCCCATCAGGCCCAGAGCATCTCAGGGCCCGCACCTGGCCGTGTGACAGTGTGAACAGGCCCTCCTTACTCGCTTTATGGACAGACAGAGAAAGCACAAAGCACACTGTACACAGCAGAAGCCCGAGCTCAGGAGGGACAGCCAACTCACAGCACGGCAAACCTCAGGTACCACAGGCGGGGCCCAGTGAGACACCGGCAACGCCCAGTCTGCTTGACCTTAAACGCAACACTCCTGCCCTAGAGACTCCTCTAGCTGGAGTCCAGGGTCTGAGTCCGGGAAGGAGCAGAGCCCCCAGCGGGGGCTGCTCAGCTGGGGGACCTGGTATGCCCACCTATCTGAGACTTCAGTTATGGACCAAGAAAGTGAATGTGAGTTACATGGTCTCAGAGCCTCTCTCTACCTCTCAAGAAGGACCATGCAGCCGGGAGCAGCACTCCATTTCCATGACCACCAGGGTCCCTTCGCAGGGCCCAAGAACCAAGGTGGCCTTGGAACAGCTTCCAGTCCAAAAGGGTGGGGAGGGAGCAGGGTGAGGAGAACGGATGTGAGGAAGCCATGCAGGGAATCCAGGGGTCCCTCCACATCCTGAGTAAAGGTGCCCCAGTTTGAGGGTTTCACAGAGTGAGGCCTCTATGATATTTTACTATAAAAGCTACAGGATTTGAAAACCATACTTACTGCTTTAACAAAAAGGAACTGCACCTAAAGCCTGGGGAAAAGTATGTGCTTTACAGAAACAGAGAAAAAGCACTCTGAAAGAACATGTACAACCGCACACAGTGGGCAGCATGGGGCTCCTGGGGGAAAGCAGCTGCTGCACAGCTATCTAGAGGCAGTTGGGGCTGTGCTGGAGGGGCGGGGGCGCAAGGACACTGGCTGTCACCAGAGGGTAGCTCTGAGCACACACTCCAAGGGGACCCTGGTACAGCCAGTGTCCCAGGGCCGGCTCTGTGGCTACCTTGAGGATACAATGCCACACTCACCATCATCCTTATGTTGTGAATGTTTTCTAGGGGTGAGGGCTCTGCATTTGGTATCAGACCCCGTCAGTCTCGCAGCTTTGAAAACACACACGGACCCTTGCTTGTCTGCTCCTCTGCCACGTCCACTCAATGCTGGCCGGCGCTCCTTCCCTTCCAGCTGCCTCATTAGCCATACATGAGAGGCTGTTAGTGCCCATCTACTGATAGACTTTCAGCAAGCTGGCACCCATAGGAGCACCTGAACAGGTAGAAATGAGTGCCTGAGGCATCAGTGTGGGTGCTGCTGCAGTGCCGGGGGCAGACAGCGCAAGGGATGGCTGCTGAGGAGGTGACTGCTGGGGTTCAGACGGGGTGGGCAGTCCTCCACAGGGACCCACAAGGAGAAGACCGGCGCCCTGCAGGCGTCCAGAAATACTCCCCACTATAGGAAGGAGAAGGCCTCACAGGGCCAGGCAGCCAGCTCCTTGCAGTAAAAATTTAATTATAAATAAAGAAGGAACAATGAAGCCCACTCACCACTTGGCATCTGCCCGAGTGAAAGGGCGTCTGGGCAACAATATTCAGTGAATGGACGTGGAGTGAGGAACGAGGGCCTGCACGATCACACTCCCTCCTCCCAAATGAGCAGTGACACAGAGCACAGGGACACGTCGGGCATCGGCCGCTCCACAGAGGAGAGGCCCACGGGCACCCCAAGCACAGGGACACGTCGGGCATCGGCCGCTCCACAGAGGAGAGCCCTGCAGGGACATGCCGTGTGGGGTGCACTGAGGACAAACATCGCCCAGCGACACTCTTCAGAGGAGACCTCAGCCATGGGCTTAGAGCAGTCTATAAAAACTGGGCTGTTCCCAAAAAAGTGTTTGGATGAGGAAAACGGCACAAGGAATATCCAAGACACCAACAAAATGTACTGTGTGGCCCTGGGCTGGATCCTGACTGATCTTTTCCTTTTGCTGCATACGAGGGGTTTTTTTTGGGGGGGACGTCAGCACAAAAGGTCACCTAATGGGACAATTGGTGACAGCTGCACAAGGTGCCGAGTGGATCCAAGCACTGCATCAAAGGCCTTTTCCGAGGGGCATCCATCTACATGGAACACAGCCGCGTCTACACCAAGACCAGGATGAGGGGGCCCAGCTACCTCTACTGACCTCTCTGATCAGGGCCACAATAGATGGACCCTGAGAGAATGGGAGAAAAATGTGGAACAGAACCTGAAATTTCTTAACAAACAAAAAAGAACAGGCCTATTGGACTGGTTGAAACTGGAGGACTCCCTGAGACTCCTGCCCTGAGATCCTCTTCAAACCCTGAGCCAAACTAACCCTCAGGTCACTTTGCAGCTGAGTAACAAACTGGCTCAAAAATAATGAACACCACTCATGAGTACTGGGCTCCTTAAAAATTGCAAAGGAGGACCAATGGTCCACAATGACTTTAAAACAAAGATGAGAAGGTGAGGGGGGACAGGGAGACTAGATGAATGGAGACAGAACCACCAGAATGGAAGTAAGAACAGCGTTCATGCCTTGCAGAGAGTGGAACCAGTGTCAGTCAACAACTTGTGTAGAAACTGCTGGATAGGAACCTCAACTGCTGTATAAACCTTCCCTGAAAACAAAGTACTTGAAAACAAAAAGGTAATTTCCTGATGTTGAAAACTGCTGTAGCTACCTAAGAGAATGTCCTTACTGTGAGGGGTACTGCCTTGCTGTTTCTAGGAAACACAGTGATGTAGTTAGAGGTTATATTCAGGAGTCAGAAATAAAAAGTTATATACAGGGTAGGTTTATGCGCATGTTGTAGAATAGATGACGAATATACCGGAATTCCTCGTGGAACTGTGCAACTTTTCTGGAAGTCTGATTATTTAGAGTAAGTGGTTTTAAAGTCCAGAGAAAGACATGCATCTCACCAGATGACACTTCAGGTCAACAACCCCACCAGGCCTAGGCACAAGGCCAGGCTGCGGAGAGCGGGCCTCCCACATTCACACCCTCAACTCCTCTGAAGGAACCACCGTGGCTCCAGAGATGGTGCCAAATTTGCCCACTCAAGACAGGAAGGGGACGGGATGCAGAGGACCGAGTGACTCTCGCCCTGTGGGGACCCATCCACCAGCACCGTCCCATGCTGCTGAGCACACAGACACCACAGGAAGTGGCTGAGGGTCCATCCTCCCCCCCAGCTGCCAGCACAGGTCACACTGACAAGCAGTGGGTGACAGAGTCCACAAGACTCCTCAATCTTAACCTAGAGACCTTCCCAATGCACCGCAGTGCTTCCAGGAACACTTAACGTAGCAATCCAGTGACTTCTTGAATCTGACCCCCGACTAACTCAAATCAATGAATTTCAGGGCTGAACACACCCTTCATGTCCAGGGTGAAAACAAGCTCAGATGCCTGATGTCCCTCTGCCAGGTTACAGGTACACACAGGTACATGCTGCAGCCGTGGCCACAGTCTGGAGCAACACAGCACATGCAGGCAGCCATGCTCCCTGCAAACAGCAGCTGCTTCCTACCTGTCTGGGACTTTGCGGTGGCCACGTAGCACTGGTTCTGAGGTAGCGACTGATGCAGGGGCGGGAATGGGGGTAAGAGCTGCTGTCTCCCAAAATCAGCCACGCTCCTGTTGATCTCCTCCTTCAACTCCTTGTGGTCTCTGGCTTCTCGGACTTCTCGGGGCTCCTTACTGGCCACGTGCTTCAAAACAGAGACAGGCAGAAACCACAATTCCACACAAAAGGCCTCACTGCGACACCAGCCCCACAAAGCTCCCTCAACCAATAGACCAGTCCCTGTAAAGAGGGGAGCAGGGCTCCCACGCAGCGCAGTGGGTGCTGGACCCAAGGCCCAGTATGGGGAAGTCAGGGCAGGGGCTGCAGAGTGAGCTCCTCAAGCTGAAAACAGTGTTTTCATGTTTAAAAGGAG